CTCTCAGTCCCTTTTATTACGTTGTGCTTCAAGATTAACACCTTGAGTACTACGTTTGATAGCTATAGACTGCAAAGGCGATCCTTTTTACTAGGGCTTCAAGGATTAAATTGAAAGTATTGGATAGACTTGTTACGGGACGTTGGACCCTGTTTCCAGCAGTTGGTCGATTGATTTTCATCTGAGTAGTGGGCTTACGTTGGCCTGCTCATAAGCGAAACTGGCTAAGGCTGCCAGGATAACACCGGGTCGAATTGTGAGGTCCCCGGCCTCGTCCCAAGATTTTTATTTATTTATTTTTTTTTCATTACCAATCCATAAGAACACTTGAGGCCAGGGACCTCACAAATCAACCTGGAGTTATCCCGACAGCTTCAGCCGGTTTCGCTTACTGACCACAGGGCTGGCCTTATCCTTCTTACTTTAAAAACAACCTCCTTCAAACTATGACTCCCAAGTGCTAGTAAGGAGCGGTTCCGAGTTCCCAAGATGAGAAGTGCGAGCATGGCAAGTAGAGGTAATTGTGAGAAAGAGTCCCAAGATTTTGCAATATAAGTTTGAAGCTTTCCAAGATTTTGCAATATAAGTTTGAAGATTTTGGGTAACCGACTGGCCGTCATCTCCCCGGAAGCAAAACTACAGTTGGCATCTTGGTTACGACCGAATTAGGCCACAGAGATTCTGCAATCCTTTCAGTTGTTCAAGGGCCTACGGACACCTGTCTCAGAGCTTTACGGATATGAGAGAAAATGTGAGTATGGTAAAGGTTTTTTTTTTTTTTTTTTTTTTTTTTTTTTTCCTGAAATAGCATCATTCCATTATAATAGCAAAAGGAGGCCAGGAATCCCTCCACATCTCAACCCGGACTGAAGAATCAAGCCTCAGAGAGGCTAACTGGAGACCGGGTCCAGTGTCCCTTACTTCGATCGATAGTCATGCTATTTCTGAAGAGAAAAGGGGGAATATCTGACAATTAAACCTACCAAAAGACACAAAGAAACAAACTGAAAAATTAACTCGCAATCCGTGATCCTACCAACATTCATATCCGGAGCATTACCCAGCTTCGCTTCCTGAGAGTCTATCTGCGACTCCCCTGAATTCTACTGAGATCGTCCAATAGAAGGCTTGTTACCTAACCCGGAGCGCTCAACCATTCTGCATTTATCTCTTAATAATCAGGTAACCTTCTAAGTGAATCTGATCTGCCTAAACCGGCAGAAAGCGATTATGAAAAACAACACTAAATACACCTCCACCAAAAACAGAGGCACCTGGCTGCCGAAACTAGAACTATCTATAAGCTCAAAGACCAGGAGCTGCGCCGGAGGATTAAGCTGTAGGGTTACCCTCCTATCATCACTGTCCAATCACATTGTAAAGAGTCTTCGTTGCCTAGACGGGTTTCCCACCACGCACCCAATGGATACAACTCTAGTTTGCTTTTCACCGGGTCTCTCATTTCGTCCAACCATTGGTGTTCCCACGGCTCCCTCGTGCTACCTACTCTTATACTAACTACATTCGACTAACGCTCCCACCACTAACGATGACACTCACACTGCCCCCGTAGTGCCGTTGTCGATAGACGAATAAGCTGTAGGATTACCCTCCCATCACCAATCACACTGTAAAGAGCCTTCGTTACCTAGACGGGTTTCCCACCACGCACCCAATGGATACAACTCTAGTTTGCTCTTCACCGGGTCTCTCATTTCATCAAACCATTGGTGTTTCCACTGCTCCCTCGTGTTACCTACTCTTATACTAACTACATTCGACTAACGCTCCCACCACTAACGATGACACTCACACTGCCCCCGTAGTGTCGTTGTCGATAGACGAATAAGCTGTAGGGTTACCCTCCCATCATCACTGTCCAATCACACTGTAAAGAGCCTTCGTTGCCTAGACGGGTTTCCCACCATGCACCCAATGGATACAACTCTAGTTTGCTCTTCACCGGGTCTCTCATTTCGTCCAACCATTTGTATTCCCACTGCTCCCTCGTGCTACGTATTCTTATAATAACTACATTCGACTAACGCTCCCACCACTGACAATGACACTCACACAGCGGCCCCCGTAGTGCCGCTGTCGATAGACGAATAAGCTATAGGGATACCCTCTCAATGACATCATCACTATCTGGAACACTGTAAAGAGCCTTTGTTGCCAAGACGGGTTTCCCACCACGTACCCAGTGGATACAACTCTAGTTTGCTCTTCACCGGGTCTCTCGTATCATCCAACCATTGACATTCCCATTGCTCCTTCGTACTGGCTATTCCTATAATGACTACCAAGAAAACCAACTTATCAAAAGGCAATAATGCCTAAAAAAATCGAAAAAAGAGAATTGCAAATTTACTCTCGTGCATCGGGGATGACAATTATCTCTCCCTCTCAGTCCTCAAGTACTTCAATAATACGTGTTTCTAAAAATGAAACACTAAGGGCAGCGTCCGCGCTGAAACAGAGGTGGTACGAATTTCGGGGGGACAACAGCGTACAACAACTTAAATCAAGGAATGGTGGTGCCCTAAAATACAGAAAGCAGAACGACAAGCAGTGATTATGCCAATCTAGAAAACTACGGGTCCATGGATAACAGACAGAGTTTGTGCCAGCCTAGAGAGCTACAGGTTCCATCTTTCAGCAGAAATCTTCGTTAGTGAATATAGCCATGGAAACACCCTGGTTCAATATGCTGAGAAGAAGCGCTAAAACCATGGCAACAAAGTCCTATGCGTCTTACTACTAGTAATTTAAACACCCTGACATCCGCGCGCGATTATTATACCCTATGAGACAACAATTATACACAAAAAAATTCAGGTTAAAAACAGAGTTATAAACGAATTAAGCCCATCTAACCTAACATAATGCCGAATACCGAGCAACTTCTTCTGTGTCCTCAACCCCTGATGGTTGTTCTTGGTATTGTCGGTAGCTCGTCTCGACTGTTGCCCATCGTTCCTCCTGCTGTTACTGAGTGGGATAGGTTTCACTTCATATCCTGCTGGTAGCAGCTTCCCCTTAAATGAGGCCTGAAACCTTCATACACCGGAGTATCATCGCAAGCGCTCTCACTCCCAATGAGAGTTACTCCCACTACTCTCGGCGGCATCGCTAGGATGATGCTGCAGCCCCAAAGCATGGGCAATCTTTTTCCCTGAACGATCTCGCACCTGCCAGCGCAGGCCCGAGCGGTTAACCTCTCGTAGTTACTTAGGCAAAGCAAGGTAGGCAAGTTGGAAGTTTCCAAGTTTTATAAAGTGAGAAAGTAAGTGGAAGGACTGACAGGGGAACGCCTAGGGACCATATTACTGAGTGCAAAGGCACTCCCACTCCACTCAAGGAGTGGTTTGAATATGGCCACCATCGGCATAGCTCGGCTATGTCGACCTCTAAGCGTGGCGCGGTGTCGTTCCTGAACGAGTGGCCATGGACTTGACCCGCGCGCTTACCCGGCAAGCGTCGGCTGGCCATGGTGCGGTAAGTCACCGCTAGTTCATCCCTGAATTAGCGCTGAATTTGCGCAGCGTCGCGCTACCGGACGCCTGCCGGTCCCCGTAAAGCAATTTCTGACTGCTAATGCAGTCCCTTTTTAGTAAGTTTTACTTGTGCTTCAAGACATATTTTTGGAAAGCTCATTGGGATAATAACACGGGACGCTTGACCCCGTTTCCAGCATTAGAACTAAGTGATTTTGAGCAGTGCAGGGTCTTTTGAGCATGGCTCGTAAGCGAAACTGGCTGAGGCTGCCAGGACAACTCCGGGTCGAATTGTGAGGTCCCCGGCCTCGTCCCATGATTTGTTTTGCAAAATATAAGGGAAGCTTTCCAAAAAAAAAAAAAAAAAAAAAAAAAAAAAAAAAAAAAAAAAAAAAAAACGCACCCCCCAAACGAAAACGGAAACAAAGTAAAAAAAAAAAAAAAGAAAGAGGAAATCGGAAACAAAGTCCTTCGGGACATCCGTTAAAATTGGAACGGTACAGAGAACCTGGACAAGATTAGCATGGCCCCTGCGCAAGGATGACTCGCATAAATCGAGAAAACGGAAACAAAGGCGTCTAGTTGATGTAGCTCAGTGGTTAGAGCACCGGTTGGAAATGCACATTGTGGTATAAGGTTGCGGGTTCAAAACTCCGCAGCCTTCCGCATGGACACCGGCAGGGCGTTAGTTTGACGCACGGCTGGACACACATCCCCGTGGGCTGACGCACGGTACTATTACAGACACTGCCTGCGCACCACCCAAGGGTAGTCCATGTTGTTGTATGTTGGTTGTGGGTTTACAGGGTTTGCTTGGGGTGTTGGTCTTGGGTGTTCTGATATTCTCCATATCTGGTAGTTGTGTCCATACGGTAGAGTCTTCGATTACACGTTAAAAGGTTGCGGGTTCGAGCTTGGCTCGGTCCTAGCGGGGGGCCCTTGTCCAGCTTGACCCGGTCCTCCTTGATATATTCACACGACTCATACACGTACTAGGGGAGGTGGTACGAGCACTTCTCACTTGTACTTACTAGTCACTTCGTAGATGCTCCATGGTGGGGAGTAACATACAATCATAAATACATATATTCCATATATATACAGATTCACAGAGTATACACACAAAAAACAGACTGGGGAGTTAGTCACTGGTAGGGTCTAGGGCCTGCAGTAGGTTCGGGTTGGTTGGATAGCACTTCCTACTGTCATTCGGATAGAAATGACTGGTGGCTATATATGGGGGCCTGTAGTTCATTGTCTGGGCCTGGCGTCCGAAGTCCTCGTTCGACACGGTTCGTTCAAATCCGCTTCCACCAGGGCTGGCTCAGCCCTGGTGCCTATCACAGCTGTTCGGTCCAAGTTGCCTGCTCGTGGGTAGGGCGATGGGCCTGAGTGCTGGTCACACTGAGGTAGGATAGTAGGGATAGGGGGTGCGCTAGGAGTATTGACGCAAGCATGGGTTGGGATGGGGTCTCATAAAGCGATTCCTACGGCTCACAGTGCACTCACTGACTGACCTCTACAACACCCAAAAAAAAAAGAAACAAAAAAAAAAGAAACAAAAAAAAAAGAAACAAAGGCGAGATGTGTGGCAACGGGGGAAACGAGGGGGTAAGCCACGATCGGGAAGAAGGCTGTCGCTTGGAGAAGAAGGGGTATGGGAGGAGGAGGGTAGTGGGATCAAACGACAGAAGAGGTGGTGGGCGACGACGCCGAGGGTGGGGGGGAAGGTCTTCGACGAACTTGGTGGCCCGTGACATTCTGTACCGTCCCCCTCCTGCCATAGCGGAGTGATTATCTCCGCTTGTGGACAAACGAGTAGCTTGCTTTCCTGGCAGTCGAGATGGCCAAGGTCAGCGACTACGTATGCGGGTTGGCCTCGTCGTCGACGGCTGCCACGTGTCATTCGCTGGGAGCTCGAAACGAATCTGGCGGACGGCGCGCGGCGACCGCTGGTTTGTCGAATTCTCGCAGGCAGCGGACCTGGGGTCCACGAGAAAATAGGGTGTTCGACGAGTGCTTGTGGTCGGCAGACAGGAGGGGAGCGGAGAGTGTGACACGTGGCGTACAGACGAAGCCCGCCAGATTGGCATGTGGGGTATTAGAGACGGGATCGCGGAGACGGAAAGGCGGTGTTAAGCCCGCGGGCACCGCGGTCAGTTGTCGGAGTGAGCGATGGCGGAAAGGAGAGGCGAGCATCCACGTGGAAAGCGGAGGGTCCTTGTGCGCCAAGATTGGATGGAGAAGAAGGGACCGAAGATGGCCAGGTCAACATGGGGTGCTGGCCGTCTTACTCGTGGGAAACAGTGGAGCTGCTGGAGTCGATGGAAGAAGAAGCAGCAGAGAGACGACGATGAGTCATCAAGGAGTGTTCAGTTTTCCGCGAGCTGCGGAGGCTGCGCGCGCTGACGTGGCGACTGTGGATTCTCTCCAAGCAGAGCCGAAGGTGAGAACCACATAGCCACTCTTAGCCACACATAGCCACACATAGCCACATCGCTGCAGACTCGTTGAGAAGCGCCCGCGGGCAGAGAGGTCATGCTAGGGG